GTCCACAGTCACCACGCTCGGGAACGCACGTCCACAGCCACCACACACGGGAACGCACGTCCAGTCACCACGCTCGGGAACGCACGTCCACAGTCACCACGCTCGGGAACGCACGTCCACAGTCACCACGCTCGGGAACGCACGTCCACAGCCACCACACACGGGAACGCACGTCCAGTCACCACGCTCGGGAACGCACGTCCACAGTCACCACGCTCGGGAACGCACGTCCACAGCCACCACGCTCGGGAACGCACGTCCACAGTCACCACACACGGGAACGCACGTCCACAGTCACCACGCTCGGGAACGCACGTCCACAGTCACCACGCTCGGGAACGCACGTCCACAGCCACCGTGCAGGGGATCCGCGTCCAGGGCCTGCTGCTCCACCACCCAGCTCGGTTAACTAGCTGGCACCAAGCTTCTTACTCGGTTAACTAGCTGGCACCAAGCTTCTTACTCGGTTAACTAGCTGGCACCAAGCTTCTTACACTGCTGAGAGCTGCCTCGACCACAGCTACACATTCTGTGTAGAAACGATTCCATCTACGAACGTTTCCTTTTCAGTGGCAACACTCCATGCTTGCTCATCAAAACACTGTGATCTGGGCTCCAACTCCCGATCAGCAAGAAACGCCTCCTATGAGAGAACACGTGTTGTTGCAGCTCCAAGCACACACAAAACAGACCACATACACACAGAGGTTTGGCATAATCCTTCCATAGTTACAGTTGTTCACACACCTTTTCATCTAAGTACTGCGAGAAAAGTAGACATGTCTCCTTCCAAGCTAACTGGGGACTTGTAACGAGGGGTGGGGCCCCCAGGACCTTGCTTCTGGGAGCCTCACGCATTTCCATCTGTAAAATGAGAGTATCATCATCTCGGATTCTGTTAGCTGTCAGGCTGGATAAAACTTTATCAGCGCCAGTACAATGTACACATTGTAACTGTCAAATGCTGCAAGGATGAGGGAGGGGGTACAAACTGGCATTGCCATGTCCAGTTCTGGCTTAGAGTTTCTTCTCTTGGATTTTGGTCCACAAGGAATTCTTCAGGCCACCAGAGAGACACAGCTTTTATCACCGACCGATTCAGGGAGCATGAGGCTGCCTCTCACGGCAGAAGCACGGCCTCCTCACTCGGACCACGTCTACAGCCCTTTCACTTCAGCAGAGAAACTGCTGGTGCACCTGCTTCTCTCGTTTGCCACAGACGCTCAGGTTTGCACTTGGCTGTTGAAAGTTTCAATCCTCATGCAGCCAAAATGAATCATTTGTGAAGTGTGGAGGCTCTCACCACTTCCAAATTCCCAAAGCGTGGCACAGCCCCGGGAGCCCCCCCAGAAGCAGGAACCACTGAGAACCTTCTGTCCAAAGTACCTGGTTCTGCCTGGGTCACAACCACAGCCCTGCAACCCTGAAGAGCACCTACGCACTCACCCTACTGCACCAGATCCCCCGCTCTAGCACAAGCCACGAGAGCAGGCTTCAGGGCTGTGCCACGTGGGTTAACTGGCAAACATTTTCATGCACAAATATGTTAGGGAGGTGCAGGTTAAACAGACAGCTTATCTCCTGTGTGGGTTTCCTGTGCTTTTTGCATACGCCTGGGTGCCCAGAAGGTCTTGGGATGGGGGCAGGGGGGCAGACAGGAACATGGGGGACAGAGTTTAGCAAACCCTGAGCAACAAAAATCATTCCTGAGTGTGTCCATTAGGACACGTGCTCCTCAGAACACATGATGGACAAAGCTGCTCAAATTCTTTTTGATTTTTCAATCCCTGCTGTTTGAAACCCAAACTCAGAAGCAACGTGAGAAGGAAGTCAGCCTGGTGATGCCTACTGCGCGGCCCCACGGCAGGTACTTTTACGAAGCTCCAAGCTGAGCTGTTTTTCTCTCCATTACACAGATGGGGTGAACGAGGCCTGAGGGAGCCAGCATTTTTGCCCCCAAGAAAAGGACAATTACAAGAGCTGTGGCCCAGGTCCCGGGGTTACAAGTGACCTGAAGTCTGGGCAAGGTGGATGCCCTGTGACCCAGGAAACCCTGGTGGGGGCGCCCTCCCCCTCGCCATCCCCCAGCACACAGGTGCTTCCTTCTGGTCACGCCGCCCTGCACTGCACACAAGAGGTGAGCTATTTTCAACACTTTAATTTGTAATAAATTGTTTTGGGGAAAATGAAATAAAACCCCCGCCGTGGTCTCTGTTCCTGGGTGTTCCGGGCAAGGCTTCTCTGAGAGAACAGGGCTCACTTCCTCCTATTGCATCCCCCGACATAAATACAGCAAATACAGCTTTAAGTCTGAACTAGACATGCTGGCTGATTTTGACTCTGGTTCTCTAAAAGTAGAAACCCCAAACAACAACAAAATAAAAGTCTTGGCCAAAAGGCCAGGAAGAATCACCTGGTTAAAGGGGCCCGGATGAACCAGGGCCTCGTGGCAGCAGGCAGGGCACCACGTGGACAACACAGGGCACCATGTGGACAGCACAGGGCACCATTGGACAGCATAGGGCACCACATGGACAACACAGGGTACCATGTGGACAGCATAGGGCACCACGTACACAGCACAGGGCACCACGAGGACAGCACAGGACACCATTGAACAGCATAGGGCACCACATGGACAACACAGGGTACCATGTGGACAGCACAGGGCACCACTGGACAGCATAGGGCACTACATGGACAGCACTGGGCACCACATACACAACACAGGGCACCACGAGGACAGCACAGGACACTGCATGGACAGCACAGGGCACCACTGGACAGCATAGGGCACTACATGGACAGCACTAGGCACCATGTACACAGCACAGGACACCGCATGGACAGAACAGGGCACCATAACACAGGGCGCTACATGGACAGCAGACTCCTGAATGTGCCTTCCCAGATGGGGAGCCAGGTACCTCGTGGAGCCCAGAGCCGTGCCTTCTGGGGCAGGTGACTGTCGCAAGCTGTGTCATGTCTTCCCTGCTCCCCACCCCACCTCATCCTCTAGAAATGGAGACGAGTCCCGCTCCCGGCAGTGACCACAGGGAGCTCGGCCTCTCCTCTCCCTCCAGCCCCTCCCTCCCCCAGCCTTCCTCATCTCACAAAAATGCCAGAGCAGTGTCCTCTCTTCCCTGCAGGGCGAGGCTACCTTCTTGGGGTTTTAACAAGGCACGTTTCTTGGGTGCCAAGTTCAGTACCAAGATCAATCCCCTTCAAGGCACAAGTCATTACTGATCAGCTGTGAAGAGTCCTGCGCTAAACCAGGTGCTCAGGGGCTGGGGGCAAGCCGGAAGGAAGTCTGAGTCTGGCGCAAGGGGAAATCGGAGCACACGACTGCGACGTCTGCGGCTCCGTCTCCTCCCCTCGCGAGCAGAGGCGCCAGCACCCACCTGTGCTGCGCCTGCTGCCCAGCTGACCGCAGGGCAGGAGTGGGACAAGGCTGGCAAACGCCAGCGAGACGGATGGACACAGGGAGAGCCCAGGGCGGGCAAGACCGCGTGGGAGGCAGGCTTGGGTCCGGACCTTTGGAAGAAACACAGGCCGGCTGCCCCTGCAGCCACGGTGACAGCAGTCGGCACAGGAGCCGCGATTCTGTCGCTGCGTGGTTTGCCTTTCCTGTGCCTTTTTGAAATGGAAAGTGTGGTATTTTTGTTTTCAGCTTCACTGAGGTGCAACTGACAAAAACGTTCAGATTTAAGACGTGCAGCTTGGATACGTGTGTGAGCAGTGGAACGGTTACCACCGCTGAGTTCACACAGCACCCATCGTGCCCTCCCAGTGACTTGGGTGAGATCCACCCCTACAGCAAACGTCCTGTCCACACCGTCCACACCCCAGCCTCACCACCACCTCCGCAGAACTTACACCCCCTGCAGGACCAGCACCTGCCCAGGTCCCTGCTAATCCCACCCCACCTCCGTGACAACAAGCAACTTACTCCCCACCCGCCTTCCTGGGCTGGGGACAAAAACCAACTCAATGGAAGGAGATGAATGAAAAGTGATCCCTGTTAAATATAAGAGTAGGAATAAGAGAGAGAAGAGATGTACAATTTGGGACATGCTCAATCGGACTTGCCCCAAATGGTAGAGTTAGAAATGAGCCAGGGGATTCCAATACAATCCCATCAAGGTGGCATGTACCAATGCCATCTCACTAGACCAAGTGATCAATTTCAGTTCATAATTGATCATAATGATAAGACTAAGAGTCAAAGGGTTCACACAAACAAGACTAGTGTCTGCTAATACTAACTGATAGAATAAAAAAGGGAGAGAACGATCCAACATGGGAAGCGGGATACACAGCAGACTCACAGAATGGCAGTTGTCCTAAGCAGCACTCTGGCCTCAGAATCAGCCCTTAAGGCATTCGGATCTGGCTGAAAAGCCCATGAGAGTATTTTCCGATGGATAAAATCTGGGGTCTGAGTTAAGTCCAACCCTGAAACATCCTGAGACACAGTTTCCTGTAACCACGGGGAACACAGCATGTGTCCCCAAGTGGACACTGGCTGCATCTGCAGGAAGTTGAAACCCGATTTCCAGATGCAGCTCTTCCCGCTCAGCACGGAAGCAGGGGAAGATGACACTGAGCACTGGACATGCCAGACGGACACACTTGCTAGGTTAGCACTGCTGCAGGCCCCAGATTAAACGTCATGCAGGCTCCAGATTAAATGTCAAGTGAGACGAGGGGAGCCCCTCCGTCCAGTGTGGAGAACATGCTGTGGCAAGCTTTCCCCAGCATGCCACTGCCTTCCTAACTCTGCAACTCCCTGCTTTTGCAGCCCAACCAACCGCCCCGGAGGCGTCCACTGCGGAAGCCTGCCTGACTCACGGGAACCCCTCCCCTGTCCGAGGGAGAGCCCCAACACGGAAACTCCACCACCCAGCGATAGTCAGTCCCAGGGTGTTCCGGGTGTGCCCCGGAGTGACAGCCAGCACCCAGCACCGTGCGGGACGCGTGCTTTATCCACAGGGACCAACCAGAGTGCAGAAGATGCACTGGCACTGAGCGATGGTCGTCATCTGCTCCACGGGGTACTCGCCGAGGCAGAGCTTGCACGACACCAGCGGGTCGAGGGCCAGGTCCCAGGTGGGCCGGTACCTTGCTGTGGTCATCGCAGAGCAGTCTGAAATGAGAGAGGCACACAGGTCAGACCCCTCACCCAAAACCTTCACCAAACCACGCAGGGCTTGGCCCGTGGAGGGGTCCTCCGAGAAGGGCTACGCAGGGTCCCTGATTGGTCTGTGGCGGCTCCTGTACCCTTCGGGTGGAAACTTGAATATCCGTGCTCCAAACGGCAAACAGCCCACCCAGTGCCGCTTTCTCAGCTCCACCCTCCCAACCCACACTCAGTAAGATGCTCCCACCACCAAGCCACACAGCCCAGCACTGCATAGAGAAACTTTGTTAAGAGTAATTGCTTGTGCTTGTTGAGGTACCTGTTGTCTTTCAAAAGTTAGCGTTCTGGGCCGGCGCCATGGCTCACTAGGCTAATCCTCCTCCTGCGGCGCCGGCACACCGGGTTCTAGTCCCGGTCGGGGCGCCGGATTTAGTCCCAGCTGCCCCTCTTCCAGGCCAGCTCTCTGCTGTGGCCCGGGAGGGCAGTGGAGGATGGCCCAGGTCCTTGGGCCCTGCACCCGCATGGGAGACCAGGAGGAAGCACCTGGCTCCTGGCTTTGGATCGGTGCAGCACGCTGGCCACAACGCACCAGCCATAGCGGCCACTTGGGGGGTAAACCAACAGAAGGAAGACCTTTCTCTCTGTCTCTCTCTCACTGTCTAACTCTGCCTGTCAAAAAAAGAGTTAGCGTTCTCTATTTTTGGATGGGAACATTCCCGGGACCCCAGCAAGCAAAGCCCTCCTCCCCAGTCCTCTGTGGCCTCCCCATGGAATGCACCTGCCACAGCAGGTTTCTGTCCGTGGCCCAAGGTTCCCTCTGCCTCCACAATCAGTTCACACACCAGTGCCTCGCGAGCCTGCAAATTTTCTAGAACATAAGCTTCAGGAAGGCAACAGCCTTTTCCAGATGCATCCTCTTGGGGGGGAGTGTGGGGGGGGCTCCAGCAGGGCCTGGTGCTTGGTGAAGCTTCAGTGAACAAGGCAAGGGCCCTCCCTCGCTTCCAATCCTCCTAGAACGTCCCCTTACGTCCCAGCCCGGCTATGGCTGGGGCTCCTCTGGCCCAGGTACTTCCTAGGGCTACACCGGTCACACTGCATTACCCCTGCTGGCCTCCGATCCGTTCAGCCAGGGAGTGTGGCAGACAGGGCCAGGGTGAATCCTCAGTTCTTAGTCTGGCATCTGGCACACAGGGCCGCCCGACCCCTGCCTGTGGCCTGCACACACAAATCCTCGCATTTGTGGTGCTAAGTCCTCAAGCTGAGCCCCGGCACTTGAGCTAAGCTTCCAGGGCCTGCAGCAAGAGCGTGTGTGTTTTCTGATTCCAGCAGCCCTGCGCTCTGAGCCCACGCATCCCAAACGCTGAACAGAGTACGGCTCAGGTGAAATCACGGGTAAGACTGCCACATGCACACTTGCTACTTGCCGGCCAATCTCAAGATCCAAACTGACAGGGCCAGTGTGGCGCCCTTCCCTTCTGCACTTGCTCTATGAACTGAGGAACGGGACAGCTTCAGATGGCAAGAAATACTTTCATTCCCTGCCAGTCCAAGAGGCCAAAAACACAAGAGGATTTTTCCTATTTCCAGCAGAGGGTTGCACACATGGCGGCAAAGACAGACCCCGTGGAGGACAGGGAAAGCAGAACCAGGCAACTGATGACCAGCACGCCAGGCGCTCAGGACTTGGGGGGCTCAGAGATGAGAGACCGCTGCCCACCCACACGCCACCACACTGAGTTCAGGAACATTCTACGCGGAGAAGAAGCTGACATAATAAACGGCAGAGTCTGCCCAGTGCTAGATCAGGCACCTGACACATATATAAACAGGCCTGTGGGCAGGGGTCCCGACAGAGTCTGATGGAGGAGGCACGGCTTGAGTTTTTGGGGAGGAAATGCTTCACATGGAGCAAGGGAAGTCGGCATCAGAACAAGAGCAAGAAATGCCCTGGTGCCTCTCACCAGACGACAGGCAGGGTGCAGACGCGACACAGGCAGGAACCCTGTGCCTGCCTCGGGCAGAACCACACCTCCAAAACACCTCCATGCATAGGAGCGTGGTGCACAGGTACTGAAGCGCTGCCAGCCTCAGTCTGTGCATCTGTATGTTGGGGTTGATGATCCCAGCAGAGGGCTTTCCCCATGCTGCGCTGCCTTGTTCAGCCATGGATGCCCAGTCTGGGAGAGAGCCTGCTGTTGCCACACTGCCGGGGTCAAGGGGATACCATGCCTTTTCTGTTCTAATCTAGATCCTTCTCAGGTGGTATCAGCAAGAGCTCGCTGGGTGTCCCTAGCACACGTTCAGTTAGGAGACTTCGCTGGCTGAATTCCATGCAGGGAACCCCAGTAGGGAGAAGGCACCTGTGACTCGGAAGGAGGAACCTGCGGGACCCCCGAGCACTCACTCACAGAGCAGATAAGACATGAGGCCACGGGGGAGGGGAGGAGACCTGAGCACAGGCGCTCAGGCAGGAGGCAGGCCTGTGGGCACCCTGGGACGTGCACAAGACAAGGACAGCGCAGTGGCCAGCAGCCTCCTCCCAGGAGCGCCGGGTCTGACACAAGCACATGTCCACTGTCACCAAAGTTATCTTGGATTCGAATCCCACTGACTGGGGACTCTGCAGCCGTCCAGATAACATAAAGGAGCATGATCACTTGACCCGAAGCTGACGGATCCAAAAGAAACAGGACCCGAGCGTCACTCTGCTCTGTGGGGACCTGGGGACCTGGGGCCTGTCACCTCCCCGAGGCTGTCTCCTGCACCATGAATGGATAATGCATCGAACATCCTGGAGGGATCTCAGGGCTCGGGCGCCATGTGTTTTTCTGTATGCTGCTCTCTCCACTTCCACCCTTGGAGTTTCTTTTTCCCCTAGACACACGGCCTGGAGTTCACTGCACGAGGTGGCCCTGCAGGACCACAAGCCTGCCTGATGCTGCCAGGCGTGGGCAGGCCTCCAGGATCGGGCGAGCAGGGAGCTGCTTCCCTGGGGGCGGGGGCGGGGGGGCCGTGGCGGCTCTGGCCCGGAGCCTGGAGCCTGGTGGGTGGGCTGTGGGCGATGTTGCAGAGGCTCCGGGTCCGGACTCTGTGAGGCATCAGGCTGAACTGTCAGGGCCAAGAACTCAACCTTGGAGTCCGGCAAACCTGGGTTCAAATGCTTGCTCTGCTGCAGGATTTTGTGATGTGGGAGAAGCCACCCCTCTGAATGTAAGCTTGTCCCTCACCTCCGTGCAGACTTGTCAAGAACGAGAAGTCCCTCGAGTGCAATAAGGCCCCTGGGACAGGGGCCATCACCACATGTCGGGCTCAAGAACAGACATGAACTTGCAGAGGTCAGCATGAGGAGAGCAGCTGAGAGCAGAGAAACACCCCATACGAAGCTCCACCGTAACTGAAGTTGGTGGAGGAGGCCAGCACCGAGGCCTGTACCCAGAACGCGTCACAGGACGGCAGAACCCCAGAGCCTAACCTCTTCCCCACGGGGGCCTGGGATCCCCCAGCCCACACTCACCGTGAGACCTGGACCACGGGACTCAGGTGACAGCTCCCTACCCCTTGGCCCAGCAGGGCCTCCGTCCCCGGCGGCTGCCCTGCACCCTCTCGCCTGTTCCCAAGGCGGCTCTGAGGGAGGCTCCTTTTCCTGTTTACGGCCCCTGCCCTGACCCCTGGCACAGAGCAGAGGGCTCGCTCTGACTTCCTCTCTTCCTGGACCACGGTTTCTGGGGTCCCCAGACAATACGGGTGCCCAACGCCCTGGGCACGAGCCAGCCCGCAGCCCTCAGCTCGGCTCTGACTGCGTGAGCCAGGCTGCAATGGGGTCCCAGCCCCGGCCCCGGCCCCGGCCCCACATCAGCCTTCTTCCACCTCTGCAGCACACGGGGTCTGCGCTGCACTCCAAGTCCGGATTTCACACGGGCGCACACGAAAAGCCACCTATTGTCTAACTCCGCCAGGGGCTTCCCTCCACACAGGATGGCCTCAACAAGACTCCACAAACACCAAGCAGCTGCACACTTGTGGCGGAATTTGCTAAGAGAATCACAATGCACAATGGAAGAAACAACGGCCTTTGTTTTCGCCGATGCGAATGTCAAGTCATGTGGAAGGACAAACTATGTGAAGGACATCTGGGCAATTGTAAGTATTATTCAATTTGAGCAACTCAAAATATTTGTGAGGCAAGTGACTGTTCGTGCTTTACTGAGATTGTGTGCGGGGTGAGCGTGGTGATTCAGGTGGTTCTGGGACAATCAGGCCTGCGCCATCCCACCTCAGGACACAAGGGAATAGCCGCCGGGGATCTCCCTCCTTCCCCCACCCCACTTTGCCCTCAAAGCAGAGCAGCTCCTAGCCAGCCCCGTCTGCCTTTTCCTCACCACCTCCTCCGGCAACCCTGCCAACCCTCCATGTTCCTCTTCTCCAGCACCCCCCCCCCCCGGGCCACTTCCCCGAGTCTCTGCTGTGTGCAGCCCACTGAATGCACCATTCTTGGCGACACCAAGGTGAGTGCCACTGGCCGGGACCCTGCACAGTCACTTTTACTCAATCTCACCACCGTCTGGGTGAGCAAGGCCTCCAAGTCGACCACATGTGTGTGTCTGCCTATCTCTTGGCCAGCGTCGGTCTCAGCAGATAATCCAAAGTGAGAACAAACACACGTATGTGCTTCCACTCGGGAAAGGGGGAGGGGAGAGGCACTGAGTTCCTCACTTTCACATTCGTCATTTATCTGCACAACACCACCAGGACTCTGCTGGTGGGGTGGGAGGTGGCAGACAGGCCGCAGGGCTTGTGCTAACAGAGCAGAGCTGGAGATACACGGATGAGCTCAAGGGCAGCCTAATATGCACACACGTGGCTGCGTGGAACTCTGGACATCCATACACACTGGGTAGCAGTCAGCATAGACCCTCGTTAGGACACAGGAGCGTACACTGGTTAGTGCATGTGGTTACGACACAGGAGTGTACACTGGTTAGTGCATGTGGTTACGACACAGGAGC